GAGACTGAAACATACCGATGATACCTGAGTATGTCACAGAACGTCGGTATCGATGAGGCTGGTATGAAACAGTCCGTTTGTGACGTGTTTTATGCACGCTTGACCAAAGTGCTTAACAGCCTTTTGTCCGGTGTGAATAAGACGCACGCATATAACGGTTGGGTCATGCCTGTCCTCATGTATAATATATATCCTCTATCCTGGTCGCGATGCACCTTTACCATACTCAGGTGGACTCAGACTAAACTTAACGCCCTGGATAGAAAAGTCCGCACTACCATGACGTCCCATAGGATGCATCATCCAAGATCGTCAGTGGGCGTGGCTTTCTGAGCGCGCTAACCAAGCATAATTGCGAAGTGTGCAGCCTCCATCATTACTTCTTGGCGAGTTCGGATGATCCATTTCATAATGACGTCAGTGATAAAGGGCTTACCCCTCTATCCTTAGCCAACGATGGCAGGACCTAGCAGTATATAGCATTTCCGACCGGAAGACCGTATGGAAGGAGGAGCTCCACGGGCACAGGGCTCTACATGAGCCCTTCGTAGATACGGCCGCCTCCCTCAATTGGCTACGTTTTGGTGACCTCTTCGGGGAAACCGAGGGTTTTGTCTGTGCAATACAGGATCAGGTTGTTAAGACCAACAACTATAAGATACATCCTAAAGGATGGTACCATCGACGTCTGTCGAGCTTGTCGCCAGCCCGGTGAGTCACGTAGGCATGTCATCTCCGGTAGTTCGCCGCTTTCTAACTCTGAGTACTTGCACAGGCACAACCTAGTAGCCAGAATTCTACACCAGGAGCTCGCTCTGAAATACGGTCTCGTGGACCGGAAATTGCCGTATTACAACAGAACTATGCTTTCGAGTAAGCCATTATTGATTTTCACTTCTGTTTTACCCTCCCCTGAAGAATGTTGTACCGTGTTCGGTGGCAGCTAAGCTTGACTTGACTTGGTGGTACTAAAAAATTAAGCTTTGTATATCAACGGTGTCCTCGGTGGATTGGGCGCTCCCCGTTGTATTAGCCTAACCATATATGGAGAATGGATCACAGAAATAAGCAATTAAAGCCGCTGGGTCACCAGGGCACGTCTGGAGCTCGCGCTGGACGTGACAGCATGCGAACCGTCAGTAGCCGTCAGTTACATCAGCAGGCTACGGTCAATCAAAATACTACTGCCCATAAACTTGACACCCCTCCCCCTCTAAACAATCATGCTCCCCCCTCTCAGTCATCACCCATTTTAAGTGATTCTAGTGGCTCACAACCCATGACCACTAAGGCGCGTCTCCCTCGACAGCGTTTGACGTGGAATGTACAAATGAATGAAGATGTCATGCGCTGTTGAAGTACCAGCGGCTGGCTGAAGAAATCCAACAGTTAAGACGGCATCCGCAGGTACTTATCGTACCGCTGATTCTCTCTACCACGATAGTACATCGCCACCTCACAATTAAAAAAAGGGCGGGAAATATAAATTTTTCCGAAATATAAATTTAGTAAGACTTTAATAAAAATAAAAGAGACTGAAATGTTTTGTACAAATATTTATTTACAGTGCAAAATGTAAGCCAGAGACATAATATTATTTTAATACTTACTATAAATGAAAGGAGACAAATATTTTTGAGTTTAAATCATACAAACTTCTCTGATTTGTAATATCATATTTATTTCAGGACAACCAGGAATATTCATGTTGATTGCTTTTAACTATTTATTTAGTAAAATTAGTTGCACAGAAAAAATTAATTCAACTAAGATGCTGATCAAATTCTTTCGATAAAATATACAACAAATAAAACATATTCTTTAAAAGTGTTAAGACTAGTTTCAAAGCAGTATATAGTATAGCGTCTGCGTAGTTTAAGTCTCGCCCTAACTAAAGCCCTAACTTTTAAAGATCGTCTCAGAGTTTTGCGGACTGTACTGTACATAGTCTGCACGTGGATATTACACAGCCCGGAGGCTTTTCACCGCTTTGTAACCAGTCTTATAAGTTAATAAGAAACAAATGAATGATATATTAAATTCACACAAAGACGAAATTGTAAATGAGTTATAAAATACAATTGAGATACGATAAATAAAAATGATATCCTTGTTAGTTAAAAAGAGTAAGGGCCTGCGCTCACAGACGGTACGGCATAGCATGGCGCGGCATATCAAGTGATTTTTTTCGGATAAATGATTTTTGACCCCGAAACGTCTTGCGCGACACTGCGGCATGCAGTGGCTCGTTACGACATTCCATGGGATGCCGCGGCATGTTGTTAAAGGAATGTGACTGCTAAGTAATAGAAACAAGGTTGAATCTAGCCCGTTGCGGCGCCAATCTCAGAAACTCGCGCGAGGGCCTGGTACACGAGCGCGTCTTGACTTGTTTGGCATAGCGCGGGATGCCACAGGATCCTTCAGCATACCAAAGTGTACCTTGACACGCCGTGCCGTCTTTGCGCGCGGACCCTAAGAGCTATATTACGGTGTATCACCATGGCCATAGTTTAACTGGATGCCGAAAAAATAATCGTTGACGGAGAGAAACCATTTATTGGCGTAGACAAGTTTACTCAAATATCGCCTTTCTCTGTCTGACCTTAGTCTTATATTGACAACAAAGAAAAACATTGCAATTAAGATTTTAATAAGATGTAGAACAATTCGGTTTTAACGATAATGCTTCATTTAAGCCAATAGGAATATTACCTAGAATCCTAGTTTCATTCGTAGACATAACCATTGTTGAAGTGGAAAGTTTAATAATGATTAGGCGCTTCTTCGAACAATATAAATAGTAATATTCATTTGATTAGCAACCAATGAAAAGTAATTCCATGGTTTTTACTGACATTTCTTGAATTGTTTGTGCAATATCTAAGTAAACACGACGGCATATTTTTATCAAGAGATTTTTTTAAATCAACACAACACGTGACAACTCTACAAGCGTCTAGCGAGTGACTGATTAAGGTGCGGTGTATGCACCGCAGTTGGGTGGCACAGAGTAGCTGAATGCAGCGTCGCCTCTAGTACGTAGTTACATAATAGCTCAATGTTAGTATGTTTAGAGATGCGATGAACAAATCTTTGCACATCCTACTTTTGGTAAGCGCCACTGTCAATTTGAAGCTAACTCGAGTACACATGTTTGTCAATATTTTAAGTGGCACTGCTGGTCGAGTATTGATGGCACGCAGTAATATAGCTCTATCTCATCACCAATCAATCAATCTAGTAAAGTTTTTTTTTTTTAATGAAATCAAGAGTTAACAAAGTGAAGATATTAAAGTTTTTAAAAATATTTTATTTTTATAGATTTATAGTATGATCTATGTATTTCATAATAGTTAATGTTAACAACAATAAAATGCATATAAAAGCAAAAGTATTGAAATATGTTTCAGTGTAAATTGTGATTTAGTAGAAATATATGCGTGTATAGAATTCATTTACTTAATATTAAGGCGACACCGTAAAAATGCACCTCCTTTTATCGAATAGTATAGGACTATGACACCACTAACGAAAGTGGGATTTTGATATAGGTAAATTCATGTCTTTATCTTGAATTTGATTGTTCAAAACCACGATTGTATAATTTTGACTCGATCATAATTATTTGCGAAAACACCTCTAAAAAATCACTATAGTCGTATACAAACAACCAAGCTTGATATTGATTATAAATATTACTTAACTTCTACCAAGGCTCCAACTCATAATTGTAATTTCAGCCATTGTATTCAATCCTTCTCTTATACATTAACTTTAAACCATTCACTTTATTTAGCTCATTATTACAGACTTTAAAATATAATATTTTTTTTATATAATTCACTGTATACATAATATTGTACAATCTATTCTAGTAAAAAACATTTATGAAAATAGGAATAATAATTAGTTGTTCAAAGGTAATTTTAAGGTAATTTTAGATCATAATGTACATTAGTATATGCATAAAAATATTTTATATGTATTGGGTATTGGCACAACTAACAACTTATGCGCCATAGTTTTAAGGATGGGTTATACAAAACAAGTTTAACCAACAAACATGAAGTATTTGTTCTTTTGATGAAGAATACTTACGACTCAAAGCTTAATAATCTAAACAAAAAAGTTGAATAATTTTAAAAACTACAAATTACAACAACAACAAAATAATTGAATTACTATATTCTTAAACTACATAAAACATTTGTTATTGTAATTATTTTCTATTTTTGCCATTATTTTTGAGTTTGTTATATTCGGTGAAAAGGTCTCTGATATCTTTTAGAGATCTTTCAATTTGTTTCACGAAGTTACTGGAACTCTGTAAAATCAAAGAAAACGGAACAAATTTACTGCTTGAAAAGAACTAAGTTTTAATATTTTGAAATAGTGTAGTGACTAGAACGTATTGTAAATTATACTTTGTTGATTTTTTTTTATCAAACTGTAACAGTTTCGAGCTGAACATGGAGTCTCTTTTAACTAGAAATATCCTATAATCACAACTTGGCAGGCGATTTATTAAAGCAGTACTAGATATCTATCTTCTCCGATGTTGCTTGTAATCGCCGATCTTCATATTATCGGTATACCGCCAATTACAGGAAACTATTACATTTATACGGCACTTCATTTAGTCACCTCTTTTGACACACCCGGAATAATGTATATTAATGATAGGTCATCTTACGCTGACACTAGCGGCATTTTTTACTTTAATTTCTCTTAGATTTACTATGTTATAAAATGACGCCGTCAACAATTAACAATATTGCTATAGTAAGATTGTTATCTTTGGCATTACTTTTCACAAATACATACAGTACAATAAGGGCATCTCCAGTTCGCTGTGAGCACTTGTCCGATATAGTCGCGTTGTTTTTTTTCTCTCGCTGAGCAGTCTTATCTCCGGAAATATTTCGCGCTGTTGTGTACATACCTTCACACATCGTGCAATGGTGAATAGATGCATACGATAGTGTACCTTATTTAACATGGAGGAAGATATAATTCAAGAAGATAATGAGCTTAATAATATTCTACACGGGATAAGTAATGTTGAGGAGTCGGAGATTTGTTTAATGGAGAAGAATACTACACAACGGGAGGAAGAAATGCTTGAGGACTCTAGTTCTAGAGTTAGTCGTAATAAGAGACCGCGGGAGGAGGATGAGGAAGAAGAGTGGATAGCGGTAGGAAGAAATGGAAAGAGAGTGGGACAGAAGGTTGATGTGTACATTAATAATTCCGAAAAGCTACCGAAGCAATTCGCGCTTGCTAAATTATTAAGGTCAAATAACATTAGTAGTGTTAGCCGGGTAAAATATATAAACCCCTATAAAGTGTTCATACAGTTTGAAAATGCAGAAAGTGCTGAGGAGTTGATCAATTGTAAACCTTTGCAAGATTTAGGTTGGAGATGCCAAAAACCACTCGAAGTTGTTATATCTTACGGCGTTATTTAAGAATGTAGAATTGGACTTGAGTGAAAAAGACATGTTAGAAGTTATTTCAAGCAATTGTGAACTGATAGCGGTAAAACGTTTAAAACGCAGGAATAAGGATGGTAACGGCTGGGAAGAAAGTGAGTCAATACGTCTGGGGTTCAAGGGTCCCTCACTACCAACGTGTGTCTACATCTACGGCATGAAGATAAATGTCGACCCGTACGTGTTCCCAGTTACCCAGTGTTCCAGGTACTGGCGATTTGGGCACTCCTTGCGTGTTTGTCCAAGCAAAAAGGTTGTGTGCCCTAAGTGTGGCAAGGGTCACGCTAACTGTGAGACTACCTCATATAAATGTGTGAATTGTACAGGAAACCATTTATGCCTGGATAGATCGTGTCCTGCGTTTAAAAAAGAGAAACGAATTCGTGAATTGATGGCAGAGTTTAACTGCTCTTATAGGAAGGCGTTGCAAGTATATGTTCCACCAGAACCCGTCCCTACACTGCGCGTAGAACGATTTAATTTAACTTCACCGGCAAGCCTTAGTGTGTTTCCCGAGTCTGTACCTGAACACGTACCTAATCAGTCACAAGACATAAACGTTATTTCCTATGCAAGCGTGACCTGAGCGCCGCGTTGTGATAGTATCATTCGACAATCACAGCCTAAGCAACCGGGCTCAACGAATGTTTTTCAATCATTAGAGCAGAGACCCAAGAAGAAAAAGAAACAAAGTCAAAATGAAGGGTATATCAGGGATGTATCTTCGGAATCAGAAACAATGAATAGTAATTTAGTCGATGAGTCGGAAAATGAAATTCGGTTGAGAAATGAGAGAAAAGAGAAATGCAGATCTAGTTTAAATTTGAAACAATTGCTTGCAAAATTATATGCATTAATTTCTAACTCACAAGAAGATTTAAAGAGTAGAATAATTCAAGGAGTGTCACTATGCATTGAATGGTTGGTACAGATAGTGGGGGGATACATCTGGGACCTTCCTTTCAAAAATATACTCGGTAAGTTATGGGTATAAGCTCCCAAATAAACCTTCTCCAGTGGAATTCACAAAGTGTTAAGCCTAAATATGTAGAATTTGAGCAGTTATTAAATAGTGAAAAAATTCATATAGCTGCTATATGCGAAACATGGTTAAATAGTGAGGTTACTTTTAGAATAAGTGGTTATAATGTTTTCCGTCACGATCGAGAAGACTCGTATGGAGGTGTCGCTATCATAGCCCACAAATCCGTTAAGGCGCAACTAATCCCTGTTCATTTTTCAAATCCTAGTATTGAAGTAATTTGTGTAAAAGTTTTCAACTGTAAATATATTGATTACATATTTTCTATCTACTGCCCACCAGCTATATGAACTTCTCAAAGTGACTGGGATGAAATATTTTCGTTTAAGACGAGTAAAATACTTGTACTTGGTGACTTTAACGGCCACCATTCCAGCTGGTCTTGTAAGACTGATTTGAGAGGTAGCAATATTTTTGATTCTTTGTTAGAAAATAATTTTGTTTCATTGAATGATAGTCGAGCTACGCGAGTTAAATTTGTCAACGGGAAATTGCAGGAATCTTCTCCTGATATTTCTATTGCATCTTCGGACATAGCCTTGCACTTGAACTGGAAGGTAACTAATGAGACATTAGGTAGTGACCACTTAATTATTAAGATTCATATTTCTTATAGTAACAATAACTCGCCATTTATTCAGAGGAGAAACTTTAAAAATGCTAACTGGGATGGTTATCGTAAGTATATTAAAGATAATCTCTCAAATTATAACCTGCTTGTTGATGACCCGCAAACAAGTTACGATTTGTTCCTTAGCATAATTAACGAAGCCGCTGATGTTCACATTCCTTTGTATAGATTTAGCCAAGACCCCTCTCAACATTTTACTCCCAAACACTATTGGAATCCTAAGCTATCAAAAGCTGTTGCAGAAAGACGGCTAGCACTTACGTTGTTTCGAAAGAACCCCACCCCTGGTAATTTGAACAAATTGAAAGATAAAATCAGAATTTCACAATTATTACTACGACAGGCTAAAAATAAATCATTCTCTAATTTTTGTTCTTCAATTGATGAGGCTACTTCTGTAACAGAAATGTGGCGCAAGATGAAGTGGTTAAAGGGTTATAGATCATCTAATACTTTTATTGACGAAGTAACGGCTAATAAGCTTTTACATAATTTAACACCAGATTTTGTCTGTCCAAAGTACCCCATTTTTTCGTCTTGTAATATAAAACTTGACGCTCCATTTTCATTATGTGAACTAAAAAGATGCGTTAAAGCAAAAGATACTTCACCCGGAGGCGACAATATTTCGTACTCAATGATTAAATATTTACCGGATAACGCTACAAATATTTTACTTAATCTTTACAATTTATTTTACTCTCAGTTTTGTCCCCTCGCAATGGCGTGAAATTCTTGTAATACCAATACCTAAACCAGGTCGGGATCCATCTTCAATAGCAGGTTTAAGACCAATCTCTCTCATGTCTTGTTTATGTAAAATATCACACTCTATGTTGAAGAATAGATTAGAGTGGTTAGTTGAGAAAAGAAACCTCTTTCACGAAGAGACCACCGGGTTTAGAAAAACCAAGTCTTTTCTTGATAACCTTAGCAATTTAGTTTCTAGAATTCAGCTGGGATTTACGGAAGATCAATTAACGATAGGATGCTTCATTGACATTGAAAACGCTTATAACAACGTGGATATTAGAGCCTTACTTTTAAATTTAGATCGCCTAGGCGCTGGTGCAAAAATCTGTAAATACCTATGGACATTTTTAAAGGAAAGACAGCTAAGCATAAAGGTTGATAAAAAAATAATTTGTAGATCTACAGGTCGTGGCCTGGCCCAAGGAGACTCTCTCTCACCTATATTATTTAATATTGCTACTCTCCATATATGTAAACAAGTTTCTAATGTTATGATTTCTCAATATGCTGACGATTACGCTTTATATTTAACTAGTAAAAATGTCAACGACGCATCCGAAGAACTGCAAATAGCATTGAATAAAATAAGCAACATGCTTATTGATCTGGGTTTGGACATTTCAACAACCAAAACAAAGGTATGTGTCTTCAAGAAAGGCATCAATAGACAACAGATATCGCTAAATATTAATAATAATGTAATAGAGGTAGTCAGTGCTGTAAAGTATTTGGGGATGTGGTTGGATAAAACTTCTAGATACTTAAATATTTTTAAAGTTTTTGCTGGGACAGGGTGGGGAATACACCCTAAACATTTGAAAAGGTTATTTTTATATTGCTATTATAAGGAGTAGACTTGATTACGGAAGTTTTTATACGACAACAGCTGTCAAAATTATGTAAGTAAGCTAGATAAAGTGCAAAATCAAGCGCTGAGAGTAATGGGAGGTTTTATTAAAACAACTCCTAAACATGCAATGGAGAGCGAACTTGGTCTCCCTCCATTGCACGTGCGGAGAACGTATTTAGGAGGTAAATTTATATTAAAAGCTAGGTCACGAGAAAACAATATTACAATAAAAATATTACGAGAATTATCGACATATAAGGACAACAGATATTGGCGGAATAAAAAGAAACCACTATTGTTAACTATGTTTGATTGTCTTTCTAATGTTTATATTCATGCCGGCCGACAACTAGAAATGTTTTCTATGAATACCTGGGTTACCAACATAGATTTGGATGATGTAATTCACTGTAATATCCCGAATCTTGTTAAAAAAAAGCGAAGGTACAGTAATTTTAATTTAAAGTTATTATGCTTGGATTTTATCAACCAGCGATATAAAAATTATTATAAACTCTATACTGATGGATCTAAGGATGGGAGTGGAATTGGTACAGCATTTTATGACCCACAATGCAACATTAGTCTACAATTAAAAATAGACAGTGACATAATATGCATTATGGAGGCGGAACTAATAGCAATCTGTGAGGCTTTGTCTTACGCAATATCGTTACCACAAGACAATATAGTGATATTCACAGACTCTAAAAGCGCACTCCAACACTTGGCTCGGTGCACCTCGGGCCTACGAGGCACTCCGATAGCCTACTCAGTCCTGGACTGTATTTTAAATCTGACCTCCAATTCTAAATCTATAAAGTTACAGTGGATTCCGTCACACTGTGGCGTTGAATATAATGAAAGGGTAGACGTCTTGGCTAGACAAGCTATTACTGATGGAATTGAATATAATGTACTCCCTTATTATACAGATTGCATTTGGTTAATCAAAACACAATGCTACAAATTATGGAAGGAATATTTTGATTTACGCTCTAAAGAAAAAGGTATCTGGTATAAAACGGTTCAGCCATATCCTCTCAGAATTCCATGGATTGATAGTCACATATCACCAAGAAAGGACGCAGTAGTGATTATGAGACTGCGTTCTGGACACATTCCATGCAAGAATTTTGCTTTTCTTATGAATAAAGTCCCGTCACCGAACTGTGAACAATGCGGTGTTCCCGAGGACTTAATGCATGTCTTGATGGAGTGTGCCCGCAATGCTGCCTTTCGAATAGCTAAGTGTAAAAATATTTTAAAGGAATTTGCTGATTGTAACATTATTCCTCCATATATCCAATCCTCATTCCGATGAAACAAAATTATTGGCTAAATTATATAACATAATATTTTCCTCAGATCAGTCAATTAGATAGTACTTGTTTTCATTTTCATTTTTGTTTGCTTGCTAAATGGAATGTTATTTAGTTCTAAATGATGTCAAATAGAGCGACATAATCGCATTTTGATTAAGCTCTTAAATAAAGATTAAAAAAAAGGGCATCTCTTACCGTTATTGGGCAACTCTTCTTGCTGGATACATGGAAGAATATGGTATCTTCTCCAACAATCATGTAGGAGACGCCATAGCCGTCATCAGCCACCGGACCGAAACCTCCACCAGCGCAAACACATTTTGGATACTTCTTCATATCTAACATGTTGGTTTGACCTAAATATATAAATATTTT